TTGACTGTAATGAGCCATGTTTGATTTTATGTATTTTTTTATATTGTAATTGTATTGTTAAGTTTTCAGTACAACTGAAATTGAATACAAAAAATATGTTCTGTATCCTTGTGTCATGTCTTGATTTTGACTGTTTCAGATCTGCATTTCCACAGCTCAAAAGAGCTTGAGGCACTTTTGGGTTTTCTTACATATTAATTAATGCTTAATAAACCATAAACAGTCTTCACTTTAGAAGGGATCACAAAAAACAGTACCTAACAATTAACAACTCCCTGACATATTCATGCATTGCAGTATTAATAAATCATCTATTCATGTTTTATTAAGTATGAATAAACAGCGAATAACGACCTTATGCATGACCTTAGTCACCAGGAGTACATCGTTAGTGACTGTGTTATTAAGTGTGAGTCATGCTTAAATAATGCTTTTCTCATCATTAATTTCTTATTCATAGTTAACTAAGGATGAATAAGGTGTAGTTATTATAAAGTGTTACCCAGAAACCTTACAATGCTGTGGCCACCGTGGCCTAAGGAAACCACTCCACCTATACCCACCCCTCAGCATCCATCCCCCTAATAAATCCCAATTTAACCTGTGCTGCTGCTGTTCAGCTCTGCAGAGCTCAGGGGAACAACAAAGTCATCACTTAGAAGGACATTTATTTATGCAAAATATTGATTAGTGCAGCTTGAACCTTTTGACAGTCAGTATAATTAGGCCAGTGACTTTAAAATGCTGAGACAGAAATGAGTTTTGACAATTCCAACAGGTGAAAATCACATTTGAGAAGGACTGAGAAGATTTGTCAATTTACACTAACAGCTTTAAGTTAAAATTAACCAGTATAATTTATCTATCTGACTCGCTGTTAGTAACCACGGTAACTTAACCACTGAACAAGGCAATACTTCTCATAAACAGTGTACAAATAATAAGGAACACTGAGTTCATGTTCTTTTGTAAACAGTGTGATGTGTTTGTTCGGACATCACAATGTAGTGTCAGTAGTATACTGGGCTTATCTTTCATCTTTCTCAGAAGATGAGGTGTTTTTCTACAGCACTGTTCATACTGCTGACAGGAGGGCAAGTGAAATGGGGCTCAACTACAGCATTTCAGCCTGGTGGTTAAATTATGTGCCTGATAAAATCTGGCTCCTCAACCCATACACACAGCAAATCATTTCCAATTTAGCAACCTCTCAGAAAATCTTAACTACTTTTTACAGTCATCAAGATGACTGTACTGTACAGCCATTTGGTGATACCCAGAACATGGAGTAACAAACCAGCATGGCAGATTTAAATTCAGTTAAAACTGTAAACGATTACAGCGCTTTAGAGACATGGAACAGCATGGATGATGGAGCAGACAGTCTATTCATATGCAAAACAGTGTTTACCCAGCCTGTAGCTACTGCACATGTGGAAGAAGACTACATGGTCTGGGTGAACTTGAATTGGCTTTTAGTTGTGTTGCACCATACAGTTAACTGTGCTGTATATTTTCACTAATATTTGCTACTGCATCCAAATTCAGTTTGGAAAAAAGACATTTCCTTAAACTTTTATTACAGTGTCACTGTGGATGTTCCTGAGGGACATTTGATTTTATAAGCAATGGGAACCATCAAAGCTGAAACAACTAGTTGATTAATTCTGAAACTTGATTTAACCTTTTCCTTTTTTATCTGAAGCATCATGTTCAAGGTTTTCAATATCTGCTGGTTCACTTTGTTATATGAATGTATGTATGAGCTTTGGACTGTAGGCTGAGTAAAACAAGCAATTTGAATATAAAACAATGGAAATTTTTGTTACTATTTTCTGGTTAATCAATAATGAAAATAACACATAGTTGGAGCCCTAGAAATCAACTGTGGCTTTAACACAAACAGGGTTGGATGACTGTGCAGTGTTAGGTATTTTTAGTCAGATAGAAATTGGATAGATACTTTATGTATTAGAAATGTTTAGTGGAGATAGGATGTTTAGTTAGACTGTTAAATGCTTAGTCATGCTTATGAGTTTCTACAGGGTACATCTGGTCAAGGATAACTAGAGAGAAGAGTTTATGACTGTCAGCAGACAGGGTGTTTAATATTATTATTATGACGTGTATAACTGTAGCCTTAGCCATAATATGTTCTTATGTTTAATATCACGACATGTTACTAGAGGTCGTGTGAGAATGTTTTTAGTTACATACCACTTAATCAACAGACACACACACACATTGATTTGCTTCATGTTTTGACTACTGCTATGGTCAGCTGTAAGGCTGGCACCAGGGACAAGTCACGGTTGACGTTCCTGTGTAGAATAGGGCTAGCCCAACCGAGGTGATATAATGTATAGGTGTCAGGATACGGCGCGTGATGCGGCCGAAAAGTGTTTTGGTGAACTCAATTATACTGCCAGACGAGTAAGTGTAAAACAAAAATGTCTCTTTAATAAGGGAACTAACATTGAACAACGGAAACTACACGAGACACGGTGACAACACAAAACTCACATGTCCTTATTAGCAACACCAGATAGGGTTAACATGTACTCAGATAGATGCTGACTCACTTGTACTCAGTTGTGTAGACCAAATCCTGAGTTGCCCCTTCAGGCGGACCCCACCTCAGCACTAGATTCATGTTGTAGGAGGTCAAGCTGACGTTTGTGGGAGCACTGAGGACACCCGATACCACTTCATAGTCCATATGCAAACATAATGTAACACAAAGTCAGTATTATCACACAAAAGGACATTCTTACATTTTGTTTTGAAAAAAACAAACAACAACTTTCTTTTAGCTACTGTAGCCGAATAAACTCGTGCTTTTGTCTTCATTGTCCGGGTGTCAAAGTTCATCCTGTTCTCTTGTGTCTTCAGTTTTTCTTTTAGAACACTTGACTCTACCTGGTGATTTTCTTACTAACTCGATGTAAAGAAACAAGTTAAAAGATATTTTAATGTTACATCCTTTGCTGGCTGGTTATCATTTTCTATTTCCACTCAAGCCACAAAAGCACTTATTTCCAATGCTGTCAATGTGAATTAAATCGATAGGTGACGTCCCAGTGACAAGATATCTTTCAATAAACTATTCTTAAATACTCCCTTCTCATTGTTTCATTGTGAGTAGTCTACGGTTCTTATGTCGTCTTTCTAAAACAGTTCCTCCTAAATTCCAGTTACAGTAAATATCTGCGTCCACACATTGTTCAATAACGTACGGACATGTCACACAGCATATTACCTCTGGATCCGCATAGTGTTGAAAATGTCAGAATAAAGGCGCAAATAGTAGCGGACATGTTGTCCGAAAGACTCTCCTGTCAGTTTATAATGTAGTCCAGCTGAGCAGTGCACATGAGAAAGGCGGTTACACGTATAAAGTTTGTATTTCCTGGTAGCATTGACTGACTGTAGCGGGGAAGTCCGCGGAAACGAAAGTCCTCTCTGCGCTGAAACGCCCGGAGCTTCACGGAATCGGCTGCAAGGTGTCGCTCGTGTTAACCCTAGTTAAACAGACCGAGGGAGGCGCACGGCAGCTGCTCCACCTTTTGTTTTCCATTCAGATGGAGTGTGTCTCGTTTAACCTGCCGTGCGTTTGCTGACAGATAAGATTTTTTATCCCTGTGTGTGCGCTGTGTTCTTGTACTTGCTACATAGTGAGGACATTTTGACTGGCCCTCACTAGTTGAAATACCTTTTTAGGATTAAGACTTGGTTTTGGGCTTCAGGTTAGAGGTAGGTGTTAGTTATTTAGTTCTGATGGGTTAGGTTGGGGTAGGGGCCTGGGGAATGGATTATGTCAATGACTGTCCACACAAAGATAGAAATGCGTGTGTGTGAGAGAGTGTATCTGAATATGTTGTGTATTTTTGTTTATTTGTTTAGGTGACGACATCTGGAGGGGATGTAGTGTCCAGAGGGTGTGCAGACTAGTCTTTAGTGAGATGGCAGCTCTGAGCTGGTGGCAGTGGCAGTGGATGGTTCATGTGAAGTAAAAGTCCTCTCTACAAAGAGTTTCTTAACCACATGTCTGCTTGCAAGATGAAACAGGCAGTGGCTGTGTTGAGTTCAATTCTCCTTGGTACAGTGGACTCTCCTGAGGCAGCATTTTATGTAAACAAATTTCATGACAAATGTCTGGTATATCTTTTTTCCTGGTCCTGTGATAAGTGAAGAGAAAATAAAATTGTTACGACCAGTTATACACATGGCTAACACAAACATTCACAATACATTTCTTTACCTTGTAAGATTTGAGTCTTATAGACTCTAGTTACTGTTAGGTATTCTCTTAGTTAGGTAGATATTTAGGGATTTGTTGTCTAGAAATGTGTAAGGCAGACAGGATGTCTAGCTCAGGCTGTTGGGTGCTCAGTTCATTGTCATGAGTTCTGCAGGCTGCATCTAGGCCAAGGTCAACTAGATTGAAGAGTCTGCCGGCAGATGAATATTGCTAGTAGCATGATATGTTCAGCCGTAATCTTAATCATAATATCTTCCGAGGCTTACTGTTCGGACATGTCCCTGAATGTCCTGTATGTTTTTAGATACACACCACAAAATCAACAGTCACACACATTGATTTGCTTCATGTTTTGACTACTGCTCTGGTCAGCTGCCAAGCTGGCATATCAGGTGACGTCATGGTTTGACGTGGCCTGTGTAGGATGGGGCTAGCCCAACCAAGTGATTAAATTGTATAGAGATCTTGGGTTCAGGGTCTTTCTTCTTCCGGGCTGCCTGCACGCAGTACTGGAGGTGGAAGATGCCTGGACGTGTAATGTTAATTCTTGCCTGTGACCCTTTGAATAAACCAGCACGGTTATATTTTTTATATATTTCCAAGTGGTCTGCGTCGTCCCTCTGAGTTCCTGGTTGAAAGAACTGGGCTGAATCTTACATTACTTTATAAGCTTTAATTACTTCTCATACCTTTAGTTCCCTTTAGTTACCTTTCATAACTTCATCTTACTTGTTTATGCATATTACAGCTGTATTGATGATTGTCCAGAACTACTGAGCTTTGGTTATTTTAATACATTTGTTTCCCTTGCTTATATATTTCACAGCTGTAATGAAGCAGAATCTACTTACTTTTGAAAGATATTACCCAGTTCTTTCAACCAGGAACTCAGAGAGACGACGCAGACCACTTGGATATATAAAAAATATAACCGTGCTGGTTTATTCAAAGCAATGAACTGAGCATTTAACAGCCTGAGCAAGACATCCTGGCTACACTAACATTTTCTAATACAACAGATCTCTAATCACTATCTATCTTTGGGGTTGCTCTTGTTAGGTAATTTCTTACTCAGGTAGATATTGATTAGATACTTGTTGTATAGGAATGTTTAGTGTAGCCAGGATGTCTAGCTCAGGCTGTTAAATGCTCAGTTCATTGTCAGGAGTTCTGCAGGCTGCATCTAGGCCAAGGTCAACTAGATTGAAGAGTCTGCAGGCAGGATGAATATTGCTAGTAGCATGATATGTTCAGCCGTAATCTTATCTCCATGTTTTGACTACTGCTACGGCCAGCTGTGAAGCTGGCATATCAGGTGACGTCACGGTTGACGTTCCTGTGTAGCATGGGCTAGCCCAACCAAGGGATAAAATTGTATAGGCATGAGGGTTCAGGGTCTTTTATCCTTGATGCTGCCTGTGCGCAGGTTTGGGGGTGGAAGATGCCTGGACGTGTAATGTTAATTTTACCTGTGATCCTTTGAATAAACCAGCATGGTTATTTTTTATATATCCAAGTGGTCCGCCTCGTCTCTCTGAGTTCCTGGTTAGAAGAACTGAGTAATATCTTACACTCTGCTGCTTCAGGCTCTGGATGTCTTGACTGTGTGTGTGGCTTTATGAAATCTGAAGACTACCAGTGAATTCTGGGGCACAACGTAGGGCCCAAAGTCAGAAAGCTGGGTCTCTGTCAGAGGTCATGGTTTTACAGCAGGACAATGACCCAAACTTCACAAAGCACCAGAAATGGTTTCAGTGTCAAGTGAGAACAGGGAAGGTCCTAGTGTGCAAAATACCAGACAGGTCACTAGACTCTTTAACTAGTTTATTTTAAATAGGGAGATAATGGGGGAAAACAAACGGGAACACCAGAGCCTCAGGCTGGCTGTATAGTCTTTAACAAAGGCAAACAAAAAAGCAAGCTTTAAAGGCAAAGACCTTCATTTATGTTAGAGCTCCCTCTAGTGTTGATTATGCCCCGGTAAACCCTAGCCCGCCCAACAGTTTCCACAGTGTGTTAGTTGGCCAGTATCTGCCACTTTACATCCACTTTGAGTGTACAGAATGAGAGTCAAAGCGTAAGATAGCATTTGCAAAATCTAATTTCCAGTCTCAAATTTCCATTATTTGTAGGAGACAGGTGATCTGTGTCTTTGTCTGGTTGTAAATTGAAAAAGAATAACGTGTACCCTTGTTCAAAATTGCTTCTGGAAATGGGGAGAGGATGGTCTTTTAAGTGTCTGCCCATAGCTTGGAAGAGGTTGTAATATGCTCTCACACATGCGTGGTTGTTAAAATCGGGTTGGAACGGTTTAGCAGAAATGCATTCCCCACAGAGGTTTAGAGAAATTTATTCAATATCACAATGTCTAAAGTGTAAAGGATTCAAAGTTCTCTTGCCCGCAAAAGTGTTATGACAAAGACTTTGGTCTTCACAAAATGATACCGTGACGGTTGCATATGCGTCTTGTTCAGATAACCAATCGTTCACATCTTCTGATTTTGATTTAGTACCCATTTGATCTTCAGCAGCATGTTTTAATCGGTCAACACCACCCAACGAACCAGGGTGTTGTGGTTTATAGTAAATGTCATGAAACACTTGTTTAATGTCTGCCAG